CTTCCGTTCAAATACCCATAACTAAACTTACCCACTGGCTGCATCTCCACAAATCAGATGACCACGACATAGTAGCCAAGAGATGCATGTAGTCCTCGACTTACAACCACAATCGAGCCCCAAACTTCTGTGGCTAAGTGAGACATTTCTTAAGTGAATTTTGCCCCACTTTATGACCTTCCTTGCCACAGTTGTTAAGTGAATCAGTGCAGTTGTTGAGTTAGTAAAACAGTTAGGTGACTCTGGTTTCTCCATTGACTTTGCTTGTCAGAAGGTTCCAAAAGGTGATCACATGACCCCAGGACACTACAACCATCGGAAATAAGTTGCCAAACATCCGAATTTTGATCTTGTGACCATAGAGATGCTGCAACAGTCGTAAGTGTGACTGTTTTCACTGCTGTTGTAAAGTCTTTGCTACCTCTCACCTCTCAACCAGATTGTGACCACCTGGCTGCTTCCCTTCCCCGCCGTCTCTTTATCGAGAGTGGTGGCAGGTGGGGCAGGGGAGAAGCGAGAGAGTGGAGCGAGACGTGGCTCCTCTTGCCATCTCTTCTCTCCCCCCCCCTTGCCGGGCATGGCAGGGCTCCTGCCCCTTGCTTAGCCACCTGCCCCCTTTAGGGATGCAATTTGGGGGTGGGGCAGGTGAGAAGCGGGACTCAGGTTTTACCTTTCAAGCTCCATCACTTTCCTCGCCGTTGTGTCCAGGGAAACACGCTGTAAAAGAAAACTTTTTTGTGAGTTCGAGAAGTTTGATTGAACTTGTGAGAAGGTTTTCTTTTACAGCGTATTTCCTTGGACACAATTGCGAGGAAAGCGATGGAGCTTGAAAAATAAGACCTGCGTCCCGCTTCTTGCCCGCCCCACCTGCCACCCCCAAATTGCATCCCTAAAGAGGGCAGGTGGCTAAGTGAGGGGCAGGAGGAGCCCTGTTGTGCCCGGTGAGCGGGGGAGAAGAGACAGCAAGGGGAGCCACGTTTCGCTCCACGCATCTCGCTTCTTCCCAACCTGCCACCCCTCTTGATAAAGAGATGGTGGGGAAGGGAAGCAGCTGTTGCCATTGGGGTGGGGTGGGATGGGAGTGTTGGGCCGTTCGGCTGGGTGCGAAGAACAGGAAGGAGAGACGACGGCAGCGACGGAACATCCAGTCCCATGCTCACCGCCTCCTACACCTCCAAAATAATAAGACCCCCTGATAAGGCCAAGCCCTTATTTGGGGGGGGGGGTTTCAAAAGAAAATAAGACCCTGTCTTATTTTTGGGGAAACATGGGACTTTATAATCAGAAGGGGGAAACCCCCAAATATTATTTTCATATCCGTGCTCTAGATTTCTGTTCTGAGGGCAGGGGAGATAGTTAGATAGCAAAGATTAAGTGAACAGAATTCAGTTTGACTAAAGGATCACTAGGCTAAAAAGTGATCCAGCCCAATGTGTAAATCAAGAATCAAGGTGTATATCTAAAGGGACAAAAAGCATGGTTAATGCCCAGGTAGGGATCAATAAATCCAAATAAGCAAAATAAAGTTGAAAGCTCCAGGGCAAAACACATGTCTAGCTGTCAGAAAAATTGTAGTAAATAAATTAACTTACTGTGTATGCTTTTATGTTCCTGTCAGCTAAACTCGTCCTGAATTCAGTCTGGACTTATTAGCATCCATGCCAGTGCCAAATCTTGGGAATGTTGCTATTCCCAAGGAGCCCTACCTTGCAATATAGCACTTCTGTATCATTCTTTGCTCTTTCTCCATCAGTGGTATTGATCTAAAACCCAGATTTAGAGATTGGGATGTATTAGCTGAGGATCATGAAGTACAGAATCCATAGAAGTGGAAGAAACACAATTTGTGTGCATTGCTGGAACCTGAATCCCAAATAAGCAAGCTTCTGGGCCTTTTTCTGTGCTTTTTATTACATCTTTCTTTTCTTGGTCATGACTATTTTCTTATTCTCATGGTTCCCAAGCTTTGTGCAAGGGTGCCATAGGGACCACAGTACACAGTTTGGAAACTGCTAGTGATGCCGTGAGCCAAGAACATTTGGGAAGCTCCATTTTATTCTAAAGCAATTGTTCATTCAAATATAGCTAGTCATTCCCGACTCTAGGGAGCAGTGTTCATCTCCGTTTCAAAATCAAAGAGCCAGCTCTGTCCGAAGACCTCTCCGTGGTCATGTGGCTGGCATGACTAAACGTCAAAGGCACATGGAACCCTGTTACTTTCCCACCAAAGGTGGTCCCTATTTTTCTACTTGCATTTTTTATGTGCTTTCAAACTGCTAGGTTGGCAGAACGGATATAGTTAATGGAATGCATATTTTCAATAATAAATAGTCTCAACTCAAAGTACAACTCAGATCAGAATCATGGCACAAGAGAAAGGATAAGTACTTTCCGTATATTGGAGGAGGAGTTGTTTCTCATTCGACAAAATACAATGAAAGAAAATTAAAATTCCTTTCCATGCAGTGTTCTAATTAAATACATGTATGAACCACAAATACAATTTGCAAATATTTCATAAGTCAAAACATCTGGAAGCTTCCAAAGTGGACTCTACGGGTGTGATTGTTCTTTGTCCTATTTGCCTTTAAATTTTTTAAAGTTGTTTTAATATTTTTAAATAAACTCTCACACCACAAAGCAGCAAAATGACAGCACCCAGCACTATTTTTATTTTAAAAAATGGGTTTAGAATTGTTTTTTAAAATAAGAATATTTTCCCTTAGGAAAAATGGAGGGCTATTTGCAAACCAATACTTTGTTTGGAAGCCTGCCTGTCTGCCCTCCCACCCAGCACAAAAATAAATTTGAAGGTAATAAGTCAGTTGAGTGCTGGAGACAGAACTCATTCCTCAACTCTTTGCCTTCAAGTTAGCCATTGTTGTATTTGGTCAGCTCCATACTGATTGCCAGTTTCTGAATGGCCAAACTACTCTTATTTTGCAAGAGTAGCCTCTGTTTATTTTCCTAAGTTCTAATATGTCCACTAGTCCAAATGGCCAAGGGAACCTTATTTCTATTTATTCTATTTATTCATCTCCATTCGTACTTCAGATTTGGCCAATAGTTAGCCCTACAATATGAGCAGATTCCTGCAAACGGAGTGTTATAGATGGGTCCTTTTCTATTGAGTGCATGAAATGCATTGACTCACAAGCTTTACTGTTATATAACTTCCACTAAGCTCAGAATTCTGGACGCAGGAACAGGGTTGCTAGCAATCCTTGCCTTGTTATCAAAGCTGGAGGAGGATGAGACTAGGGAGCAAAACAGGGTGTCCTTTGAAAACTTCCTTATTATCCCTCCGGATTCCACCAACATCCATCTGTTATACTTTTCCTATTTCTATCCTATTGCAACTGGCGATTTTCTTAGGCATATTGTCATTTGCACTATTGGATGCTCTGGTACATAGTAGAACCTGGTTATTAGCTTCTGCTATGTCCCTTTGTCTGGTTCAAAATAGCAAATAACAGACTGTATCTAGATAACAGTATATTTTCTTTAATTCAGAAGGCTGCAGAAGTTGTCATTTTCATTCTCTGTTTTAATGCAAAGTTCATCCTAAGAATCATAATGATGCTTGATTTCAAGGAAAGTGCTGTTGTGTAGTTTATAGATAGCTCCAGAAATTTGCAGGTTTGAAAGAAGAAAGTCGGATTACCCACACAAATACTGTACACACACTTCAAAAAGATGGATGTTAGAAGTCAGCAGCAAAGACAAGAAACTTACAGGGTTTCTGTTGGGAACTCAACAGCCCTCAGAACCCATCAAAAATGGAGCCATCTAAATCCAACAGCAAGATCCCTGATTTGGGGTGGTGCAATTTTCTTGCTATCTTCTAACTAGAAATGCGCTAGAATAAGTTTAACATGCTTATTGGAGTCTTCCAGAAAATTTTCCCCAAATTGCCCTAACAGTGTTATTACTGTTATGATATTCTACCTGTGAATGTGCTTCTGTGAAAAAATTAAAACCGATTCCTGGCTGGAAAATATTGGTGTTCTTGGTACGCGGGAAACTTAAGATGAGCAGCTTGCATAGTAAAAAGTTAATCTTTACCATTCTTGACCTGGAAATCTACTGTAGTCCTGTAGTGAACATTAGGATAATTATGTTGCCAAGCCTTCATATCAATGGATCAGATGTAAATCTGTCTCTAATAAATAAAGTGTTTTGTTTGGAACAAAAATTCAGAGAGGAAGAGACATGTGATAGCAAAATAGAAAATTATTATATAATGCATGAGTCAGAGAGCCCAGGTCAATTTAACCATAAATTGGACTTAATCTTAAGGATGATTTATTTATAAAAATTCTAGAGAGAATTACAGGTGGGTATGTCAGTGGGGGTGGCTTATCTTTCTCAGTTGTACTATTATCCTAATGGAACCATTCCCTATTATTTGTATTGGGGTGCAAACTGGCTTTGAGAAAAATGGGTCTTTTCGATGCAAATAGCTTCAAGTTCTTGGTGAGCGCTGTTTAAAAATCATGTGTTAAGGGTGCAGATGAATTTAAGATCGCATCCATCATGGAGGAGACAAAGACTAAATGGATTGATTTAAAATGTGATTTATCCATCATTAAATGAATTAAAATAAAAGTATCTTCTGCATGTAATATGAAACATTATCTTACATATGCTGGCACAGGCTTTTGTTAGAATATTTAATATTTTGGATTGTATTTTAAACTGAAATAAAAGCTGCAGTTGCAATTCTTCATATGGGTAAAAGGATAACACTTGACTAAATAGGGGTTAACTATTAAGGAATGTCTCCCATGGTTACTTTAATAAAAGCCCTTTAAGTGGTCGATTTAGAAGCCTGCATTTTCCACCAGTTTGTTCTTTAAACATTGCTAGCTTCCCAGCAATTTCATTCCCCGTTCTGATGCTTATGCTTGCTTTTACATCTGCTGCACCCATGTGCACATTAGCTGGCCTCTTGGGCCTCTTATTAACTATAATTTTTGCTTCAAATCCTTGTCTTGCAGTTTTGGTTGAAGACGGTATCCAGGGAACCCATTTCTCTCTCTGGGAGATGCCTGCTGGTTGTTGCTAAGGTTGCTTCCACAGTAACATGTGCATCTTGTTTACACCTTCATCAGAAGAAGTTGAACTTGGTTAGTTTCACAAGTATCACCTAAGGAGCAAGAGAAGGAAGTGCTGGATCTTCAGTCTTACAATCTTGCACTAGATCCTTTTTCCTCCCTGAGGAGTTGTGTCTAATACCCTACCAAACACTGGACTGCATTTCATGTGGAGCTCCAAAAGTTTCATTGCCTGCTCTTAGTAGAGGAAACAGATCTAGAGGTGAAAAGGAGCACACAACTTTTTCTGGCCTGTTTCCTCACTGAACCCACTCCCTTGTTGTCAAGATGACAAATAACTCAGCAGATCATCATCCTGGGAACTCTGTGGCAGAAGGCAGCTATGAAGGGGACTTTGGCTGCTCCGTTATGGACTTACGGAATCTTATGGAGCTTCGCAGTTCGGAGGCAGTGACCCGAATAAATGATACCTATGGGGGAGTGCATAATATTTGTAAGAGATTGAAGACTTCACCAATCGAAGGTAAGGAGGTCATTACCTTGGTGGGAAAACAAGTATTTCCATGGATTCTAAAGACTTGGTTGCATCTCTCCCCTCCCTCCTCCCATGCAAGAATATATCATAAAGTTACTTTTATATTGTTTTCAAATGGTTGATAAACAAGGACTACCTGTAGCTCACAATGAATTGAATGAGCAAGGAGCAACCATAGGCCGGAATAGCTTTTTGGGGGGATTTCTATTTTTCTAAAAATGAACAGGAAATTCCAGAACTTCTGTACTCCATAGTAAAATTCCTCTCTTTGGTTGTTGTTATGGTTATTTTTGGCCAAACACTAAAGCTAGGGTGGAAAAATTCCAAAACTATAAAAGTTTGTTGGGAAACTTTTTTTTTAAGTGTGATTCATCTTTTGATTCTGGGTTTTAATGTGGTGTTTTTACTGCTTTAAATCATTTATAGTGTTTTTGGAAAGAAAAAAACCAGAAGAAATAGGATGAATAAATTTTAAAAAAGAGCTGGGTAGAATAGTGATTAATTTTTTGGTTTCTATCTAATCCAACAGAGATTAGAAGAACAATACGTATTTCCTTCATGAATAAGTCACCACATATTAAAACACTAAATTACAGGGTATATAGCTCTCCAAGGCAAACTGTAGGTGCTTCAGTGTAAAAATTCCCAGCTGACCGTGCTCTACTTTAGAAGCAGAACAGGAAGTTTGTAAGTAAGAACTTTATTGTGCCTAAGTCTTTCTTCAAAGAAAACCATCTGTGGGCATTTCTGGGACATAAAAACGTAATAAATGTTTTTGCCTCTTAAATATATTATGGTGGAGATGGGTATGTCTACTTTAATTATGCAAATTTTTATCTTCTTAGGATCCCCAATGTGAAACTGTCTTCCATAGGTAGTATAGAAATCAAGCTGAAATTATCGATTTGAATAGCAATTTATTTCCTAGAAGAGTAAGCATGCTTCAAAAATGGAAACAAAGTAATTCAGACACAGAAATTATAACTTCTTAAAGGAGTTTTGTGAATATTTATATTGTGGTTGTATATGTGTGTGTGTGTAATGTAATTAAAGTGTAAAGCAAGTGGTGAAAAATGATGGCTGCTTTTGATAACTGTGTCTTGCTGTGCAGCTTTAAAACTAGTTGTAGACCGAAAGCTGTAATAAATAGCATGAAGGTCCTGTCAGTTCTATAGCCATTTAATTGTGAATTCTTTGCATAATATTTTAACAATAACAGCCTAGAGAGAAGTTTCCCCTCAGTGACCTAAGCTACACAAAACTAAATAGAAATAAATTACACATAACCTAGAAGAGGTACAAAACCTTATTGCTGCTTTCCTCTTTCCAGATTTGAAATCTTGTTTGTAAAAGTACAATGTCAAAGGTTTTAGTTTTCTTTTCACCCTTATAAATGAGGAGAGGCACTTTTAACAAGTATGTGATACACTGAAATCTCATTTTAATGGAGTAATTGGGGATGGCGCGTCTTATTTCAGAAAGTCTATTGCAGGAATATACATAGCACAAATATGATGACACATGCAGTTTATATCATTTATGACATTTGCATCAATCTATGTCATTTACATTGAACTGAAGATGAACAAAATAAGTGTTCATGTATGTAAAAACTGTAAATAGCCACACTGAATCCACAGATTACAGGTGTAATTAAGATAAAGCTGGTGGAAATGACCTGCTAATGTTCAAAGTGTTCAAAATAAGATTCTGGCTTATTCAGAATTTCTCACCAAATTAGAATTTATTGGATGGGAAAGTATGATCTGCCTCTGTTTTTATGGATCGTTAACCAATTCAAAAAAATTTAACATTACTTGGTTAAAAGGGGAAAAAATCTAATTGCAATTGACCTATGTTTTATGGGGTGGGGGAAATGAATGATTGAATGAATGAAAATTTGTCCTTCAACTAGAATGATGAGATGTCCTTTGGAGAGAAGGCATTAGTACTATAAAGAAAATGGGCCAAATCCAGTCATAAAAGGGATAGCCAGTGTGGATAGGCAGCTGCATTAGGAATGGTGAAACACCAACTTCTGCCCTTTTCTCTGTGTGCACTTTGAAAACTTGCAGGTTATTATTAGCTCGCTTGTTTTGTAGTGTAAGCAGCAGATTAGCATATTTCACAGCTGCAATTGGGAACAGGAAGTGGCAAGGGAAAGACAATCCTAAGGTGTAATTAGAGAAGGAGGGCTGTCCTGGTGGAAATGCCAAATCTGGATCACTGAAGCATGTGTTTCCTGTGCCAAGTGTTGAGCATATACATCTGGGGGTAGACCACTGGTTGGGCTATGGTCCAGCCTGGCTGTCTCATCAAGCCTGACTCATCCTTATTTTCCTCTCCATATCTCCATAGAGATACCCCATTTCACCTTCAGACCCACATGGCACTTGGACTAATGCAAGTGGTCAGGCAGTAACCCCTGGGAGTGGAGAATAGATTGGAAAGCTGCTAGATGAAGTACTTATTGCTAAGCAGGGGTTGAATAACGATTCAGGCCTTCCTGGTAACTTGGCATTCTTTCTCCTATCCCATGAAAAATTGACAAAGAGCTGACACTGTGCTGATGGTCTCTTCTATAGTGATTCAAGAGAATTAATTCTGGGCTGTCTTCAGATTTCATGCAATTTTATGGACCAGTTGTTTGAAAAATGTGGACGCTGAGCTGTTTTGGTCCTCAAATTGGTATAAAACATGACCATAACAGGTGCATGAAATTGAGCTCATATCACTCCAAAATATTTTAAAAAAACATCTGGATTGTTTAGTTGCCTTTTAGGCTCTCAGTGCATGTTATTCATTGATTTAAGCCTTTCAAATGGCTTTAGGGCAGGGGTGAAATTCAAAATTTTTCCCTACCAGTTCTGTGGGTATGGCTTGGTAGGTGTGGCAGGGGAAGGATACTGCAAAATCTCCATCCCCTCCCCACTCCAGGGGAAGGATACTGCAAAATCCCCATTCCCTCCCCTCTCCTGGGGGAAGGATATTACAAAATCTCCATTCCCACCCCACTCTGGGCCAGCCAGAGGTGGTATTTGCCGGTTCTCCGAACTACTCAACGTTCCCGCTATCGGTTCTCCAGAACCTGTCAGTATCTGCTGAATTTCACCTCTGCTTTAGGGCTGTTTTATGATAAACAAACCCAAGTATTTATGAGAACATCCTCTCTTACCCAAATCACACTCGTTGACAGAAAAGATACCTTCCTGCATCCTTCCCAGATAGTGGACTGTGTTTCCTTTCTAGAAAGGATCCACCCTCATTTTTAGTGCTGATGGCCTCCTCAATCCAAAGGAATTAAGATACATATTTTCAATTTGGCCTTTTAAAACTTAGTAAATCTGAAATTCTCCCTTAACAGTAATATAATAATTTAATATGCTTTTATTATTTATATCTTTTAGTTTTTATGGTATACCAACAGGAGTGGTATTTGTCAAAAAGCTGTAAACAAATATAAATGAGTAGTAATTTAATACTGCAATTAACAATAGTGTCTTTATTAATGTAATTAAATAATTTATAATTTATATTGATTGATAGTTGATTGATGAAAGCATAGGATTGATAGTTAAAACAGATATCCTCTCTCCCCAGAGTTTTTTTCCCTCTTAAAAGAACAATAAGAGCAAAGTTTCCAAATGGATTAAAAGCTGATTCACTGCAGAAATTTGTTTTCAATATTTGAATAATGACTGGGAGGAGCCAAAGTTCATCTATTTTACTTCTGTCCTTATAGATAATGAGTTCTGCTCCATTATCAAACCTACATATTTATGGTCATGGCAAAAAAAATTACATTTGTCTGTAGTTCTTATTCATGCAGCTCTTCAGACTTCTTTGCATCTGGGATGGGCTGAAATTAGTTAAAAGTACTAAATGGACCTTAAATCAGTTTGGGCAATTTGTAATCTCACTGCTATAACAGCTTTTGTTTTAATTTTATATACTTCTTTGACAATTTCAAAAGTCCTTTGAAAGCGAGTCAGACTTCAGGAAAGTCTTTTCTCTAACATTCTCCTGTGTGGAAAAAAAATAAAAGCAGGTCAAAAAGAAGGGAGTAAGAAGAAGAGCGCAGGAAAAAGAAAAAATTATGCCCCCACTCATTTTTGCTCTCTGCTCAACTACTGTTTGTTTTCATCTGCCATTGGCATATAATACAGTCTCCAGCAGGTTATTCCTGCAGAATGCAATCCTCAACCTTTAAGCTGAAAAGCAACTGACCTTGTCTTTTGGAAAAACCAGAATCCCTAGCTACCTTGCTTTTTATTTGATTTTTTATTTGATTTTTCTAAAGCAACCCTCCAGGCACTTTAGAAGTAGAGATAAAAGATAATATGTTCCTTCATTATTCCTTTGTTTGTTTGTTTGTTTTTTGTTTTTTCAAAAAGCCATCCAATTCCCAGTTTTCAGTGTTTTGGTTTATGAAAGAAATCATACCTATAATTTACTTGAGTGTGTATTCTAACTGGAGATGCAGCTTACTTGTATTATTTTTGGTATTTTTAGTAGAAAGTGAATGCTACTGCTGTAAGTTTTTATGTACTGTATCCCCTTAAAAAGCAGCAAGGACAGGGAATTAATGATCTTTCTAAACTTGGTATCTTATTTAAAAATATTTTAAATGATTCTGCCAATTCTTGCACTTAAAGGCTATCATTATTATCCCAATATCACAGGAAGTGATGTTGTGGCTGAGAAGGGATGTTATGCCTACATGCACCACACTTTGTTATTATTACAGTATATGCATTTTCCTGGGGAAAGAAGGAAACCATAATAGATCAGAGCACTCCAGATGCGCCTTAACACTCATAATCCCTAGCCAGTATGATTTAGCATTATGGAGGTTATAGTCCAGCAATATTTCAATAATACCTCAATATTTGCAGTGTGGTCCAGTGTACTCTGCTGCATTGGGGTTTATGGTTTGTGAAGTTCAGTTGGTGGAACAGCCATTTACTGCTTCTCACAGTTTGCCTCTT